TTTACACCAAAATATGCGATTTCTGACTTCTGAGAACATGATTTATGGCACAAGATGATTCTGCTTTAAAACGGACGAAAAAAAATTGATCCGTTCAACATGATGCTGAAAAGGACGTTGCCACTATTGAAAAATTGGCAAATTACCTAGGCGCCAGCTGTTTTTTTACATGTTGACACTCAAACACAGCTGATGGCATCGGAGAACCTCAGTCCCCTCGCGTATATATAAATATACATATATATATATATATAAATTCTGTTGTTGGTCGAAACAGTGTGAAACATGTATCGTAACAGTAATTCACCTCCTCTAGGCCGTGAGTCCTCCACCACTGCCTCTTTCGGTGCTTCTTCCTTGGGGGCTTCGCTCGGAGCCTGCACTTTTCTAACCAGGATTTTTGCCTCATCTATGTGTGGCAGCGTGGCATCGAACCATCTGATGTTCTGCCTCCTTCGCCGTCTCCGGTGCATCTTTGCTTGGCACATTGTCTGCGGCAGGATGAAAGATAAACAAGAACGGAACCATGGTATGGGTCAGGGGCACATATCACTTGTTGACCATAACTCCGCATCGGAGCATGTTGAATGACTCAAGATACTAAAGGTATTCGCTGATCGCAGGATGGTCAATGATTTCAACTACTGGGTTGAATCACAGTTCGATCCTTCTTGGCAACTTAGTCGTGAACAAGAATCTGTCATCTGTCCCCATTTGGGCAAGCTCAGCTTCCAACTCGTGCCTGCAGGTTCATCTTTCTTCTCCGCAGTGGCTGCTACCGCTTCCTGCAAACGTGTCCACGGATAGTGGTCGTACTGTCATCTTCTCAAATGTCAAAGCAGGACCAGAAGGACAAGGCTTTTCCTCCTGGATATATTGGAAATGTTTGACTTTACAAAAAGTCAGCTCAAATTTGAACAGCAAACGCACGGAAACCCTGGTGTTCCCAAATGGAAGTGGCTTTCAGGGCCTGCGGGGCCTGCGTAGAGTCTGCTCGTGCGATGGAAGCCTCCTGAAACGAGTATGTCCAACAGTTCACGGTCTATCCATCTGTTTCAATTGGGAAACTGGTGGA